AGTTGAGTCATGCATGTGAGTGAGACTTGCTCAAACACATGCTTGAAGCTCATGAATACAACCAAGAATGAAACAGAATGCCATCATGTGAGAGTTGGGTCATGCATGTGAGTGAGACTTGCTCAAACACATGCTTGGAGCTCATGAATGCAACCAAGAATGTAATGGAACTTCATCATGTGGGAGTTGAGTCATGCATGTGAGTGAGACTTGCTCAAACACATGCTTGAAGCTCATGCATGCAACCAAGAATGCAACAGAACATCATCATGTGAGAGTTGAGTCATGCACGTGAGTGAGACTTGCTCAAACACATGCTTGAAGCTCATGCAAGCTACCAAGAACGAAACGAAACATCATCATGTGAGAGAATTGAGCAAAGTAGGTGAAATGAATCATCGAAACACTAGAACAAGCATGGGCAAGAATTGCGATTTGCTCCTAAGGGAAGAAGTGGAGAGAAGATGAGAAAAGAGTGAGTGAAACTCACTCAAATGCATGAAATCACAAGGGGAGAAGTAACACTTCACATGGGAGTGAAGAAATGGACTAAACAAGAGGTAATCATCACCAAAACACTAGATTAAGCAAAGACAAGAGTCGCGATTTGCTCCTAAGTGAAGAAGTGGAGAGAAAGTGAGAAAAGAGTGAGTGTAGTTCACTCAAACGCATGAAATCACAAGGGGGGAGTGATGATTCACAAGGGAGTGAAGAAAAGGACGAAACAAGAGATAATTAACATCAAAACACTAGATTAAGCAAAGACAAGGGTTGCGATTTGCTCCTAAGTGAGAAGAGGAGAGAAAATGAGAACAGAGTGAGTGTAACTCACTCAAATGTATGCAATCACAAGGGGAGAAGTTGCGCTTCATATGGGAGTGAAGAAATGGACTAAACAAGAGGTAATCATCATCAAAACACTACATTAAGCAAAAACAAGAATTGTGATTTGCTCCTAAGTAAAGAAGAGGAGAGAAAGTGAGAAAAGAATGAGTGTAAGTCACTCGAATGCATGAAATCACAAGGGGCGGAGTAGCGCTTCATACGGGAGTGAAAAAATGGACTAAAGAAGAGGTAATCATCACCAAAACACTAGATTAAACAAAGACAAGAATTGCGATTTGCTCCTAAGTGAAGAAGAGGAGAGAAAGTAATAAAAGAGTGAGTGTAACTCACTCAAATGCATGAAATCACAAGGGGAGAAGTAACACTTCACATGGGAGTGAAGAAATGGACTAAATAAGAAGTAATCATCACCAAAACACTAGATTAAGCAAAAACAAGAGTTGTGATTTGCTCCTAAGCGAAGAAGAGGGGAGAAAGTGAGAAAAGAGTGAGTGTAACTCACTCAAATGCATGAAATCACAAGGGGGGAAGTGGCGATTCACATGGAGGTGAAGAATGAGCCCATGGGGAGATCAATACTAGTGTGAAGGCTCCCTACCATCTACTCTAAGTTTAGGAAAGTTCCTATGGAGAAAGGGGGAGGGGGTGAGGAAGAAGAGAGTGGGATATGGATAAAAGATCATTGGGAGAGTAGAAGAAGGAAGGGGAAGGGGAGGGAGCACATGGAGGTGAAGAATGAGCCCATGGGGAGATCAATACTAGTGTGAAGGCTTCCTACCATCTACTCTAAGTTTAGGAAAGTTCCTATGGAGAGAGGGGGAGGGGGTGAGGAAGAAGAGATTGGGATATGGATAAAAGATCATTGAGAGAGTAGAAGAAGGAAGGGGAAGGGGAGGGAGATAAAGGAGAAGAAGAAGAAGAAGAAGAAGAAGAAGAAGAAGAGAGGAAGGAGGAGAAGAAAAAGAGGAAGAGGGAGAAAAAAAGAAGGAAAAAGAAGAAGAAGAAGAAGAAAAAGAAGAAAAAAAGAAAAAAAAAAAGGGAGAATCTTCTCCTTTCCACTCACCTCCTTGGTGTCTTTGAAATGAAGCACCAATCTTAACGAAGCCTCTCACTTCTTTGCACAAGTATCACCTTGGCTATGGCTTTCTCCTTCTCCAAGCCCTTCTCTTCCTCCCCTCTCAACCTCACCCAAGCTATGGCAAACTTCCTCAACTATGGCTATGGAGTCCTGCCCTCTAGGAGGGCTAATGGTACTCCCTCTAGCCTCTCTCTCCTCCTCACAGCCTGGGGGCTATGGCGGATCACCTCCCTTGGCCAGCCTCACTACCACTAACCTCTAGAGCTCCCTCCACTAGCTCACAGTCTCCTCTAAGCTCCCAAACTGGCAGGGGTTCCCCTCTCCTCTCTTCAAGTAAAAAAATGTTCCTATGAGCTTACTTGGGCAGCATGGGCGCTCCTCATGAAAAAGTGAGTGTGGCGGACTGTATCCTCAGCTTATGTAGGCTGAAACCAGCACTTTGGCCAGCCCATGGGCCTCCCTATGTGCCTTGAGGTGAACCGAGGTACCCGCAAGGCAAAATTCCACCACTAGGCGCTTGCGGAGGTACCCGGACCTCATTTTGGCCAAGTACATGCAGTTCGAGTGGTTGGTACCAACTCGGATTGCCTCTTGGCCTCCTTCAGCCTTTTTTACATTTTCAAAATGTTGCCCCTTTGGGTCCTTATGCCCAAGGGGCAGCCTCACTTGAGAGAAAAAGGCCTAGTGGACCTTTATTTCGATTTTTTTAGTTTCTACCCCATTTTTGGTGGGCCGAGGTATATTCTCATGCCTTGGTGCAGTTTCAGCCTTGGATCTGGCTGAGATCCAAGGCCAACAATATTTCGTGCCACCCCCAAGTAGTCCTTGCTTCAAATTTGAGCTCCTAAGCTCTCCTTTTCAATTTTTGGTGCATCTGGCCCTCCTTTTGGGCCAAATGCACAGTTTTGTATTTTTCTCTCTTTTGTTTCTTTACATTTTGTGCTCCCAACTGATTCCGGAGTTGGCCGTTTGGGTAGGCCTCATAAAAAACGGCCATATTCCCTCCTCCATAGATCTTAATCTCAGATCCATGACCCAAAAGAAAAGCGCTCATTTTCCTTTCGCATTTTCTCTTGATTTTGTTTTTTTAATTCAAATTTTGTGGAAATATTGCCTCAAGGGCCATATCTCTGTATTCCGGATTCCCCTCCTTGAATCCTGGAGGGATGATGTCACAATAGGAACTTGCCAGTCCTTACTGTGCAGGTCCCAATAGGCCGTCACATTCTCCTCCACTCTTTTCTCCCCTTTTGTCTCTCTCTCCTTCCATTTTCTCTAATTTTTTTTGTATTTTCTTTTATTTCTGATGTGACAAGTATCGAATAATTGTTGAGTCTTTTTCTAGGATATAGATCCTCATCCATCGCCGGATTCACACTCAGCAGTTAACCGTTATATCTCGGACTACAATAATGACACCCCCATGCTCAGGAGGGGCTCCATTTTGCCTCCGTTAGTCCCAATTTTGAGCCCCCCTTGCTCCAATTTTCTTTGGACAACCTTTTTCCCACATTGAGCCTTTTGAGGCTTTATTTTCTCATGCCTAGGTAGTCGGAGACATCTCAGACTGCTTGGCAGCCCTTCTATCATTATTATTTTGCTTTTTTTTCTCTTACGGTCCTCCCTCTCGATACCACTAGTGCTTGCACTAGTGGTGCTAATATTCTCCACCGTCTAGATCTTGATCTTGACGGTGCCGTTTGCTTTGTGCGGCCATCCCTCATGTTGGCTCATGGTCATCTTGGGACAACTCAAGTCCCCGTCACTCTTCCCGTACTAGTTCCATTTTTTATTTATTTTTTTTCCCGCCGGTAGTCCCGCTGGTGCGTGTCGTGTTTTTTCGACTATTTTTATTTGGGCCCACTTAGACCCCGGCGACGTCCCGTATGATGTCCCATTTTTTTATTTTGAGACCTTTCGTTCTGGTGGTTCCAATATCCCCTCCTTAGGTGCCCCATGTGTGCCGATTATTCTTGACCGCGAGATCTCATCTCACGGTTCCCGTTTACCATCATTACTCGCCCCATGCCGAAATCACTTTTTTCTAGCCTTTTGGGCTTGCCATGGCCCATTTTCTCTAAGCCTAGGCATCCTTATGCAGTCCGATATTTCTCGGACTGCAATTATGGTCATTTTCCTATTCCCACAGCCCCACAACTTGCCCCAAACTGGAAGAACATGAAACGCTCAATTTTCAAGTGCATCCGGGCTCAATATTAACCCCGGATGCACCTAAAACATGTGTTTTCCCTTCCCCATGTAGTCCGTTGTAACTCGGACTACAATGGGAGTTAATTTTCTAGCCCCATTGCCCCACAACTAGCCCTAAACTGAAAGAAAAAGAAACAACCAACTTCCAAGTATATTTGGGCTCAATATTGGCTCCGGATGCAACTAAAACATGTGTTTCTCCTACCCCATGTAATCCGTTGTATTTCGGTTGCATGAGGCCTTGATTTTTCTTGATTTTCTCAACAAAATCAAGAGAAAATCAAGGTCCTTTGCAACCGCCATATTCCAGAATGTATCTGGTCACGGATGCATCTCTCCAAGTGATCATTTTTTACCATTAAGGCCTTTTTCTCTTCTCTTTTCTTTTCTTTTTTCTTTTCTTTTCTTTTTCCTCCTTTCTTGGACAGTAGGGACCTGCCAATCCCTAATTGTGACAGTCCTACTGACGGTCAATTCACTCACTCCCTCTCACTCTTTTTGTCTTATTCTCCCATATTTTTCTTTTATTTTCTTTATTTTTCTAGCATGCTAAGTGTCAAGTGGCCGTTAAGGCCCTTTTCTAGGTCCTTCCTCTTAGTCTTGACCCTCCCTATGCCCATGGTGCAGTCCGTTATATCTTGGACTGCAATAATGGTTCCCTCATACCCGTGGGAGCTTCCTTTTTTTTTTATTTCTCTCCCACAGTAGCCCCTCCCACTCTAATTTTCTCCCGAAGGCCTATTTTTGACATGGAGTCTCTTTTGACTCCATTTTCTTGAGGGAGGCTAATCCGAGATTTTTCGGATTGCTCCCATGCCTCCTACTTCATGATTCTTTACTTTTTCTTTTCCTTTTGCCCTTCCAGTCTGCTACCACTAGTGCTTGCACTAGTGGTGCTAATATTTTTTGCCGGCAAGATCTCGATCTTGACGGTGCGTCTCGTTTTAATTGTTTTTTTCCTCATGCCGCTCCGCCGTCTCTCTTGGGACCTTCACGTGTCCCTCCCATTTGTCCCGTCGGTGGTCCCCGACGCTTTGTCTCGCCGGTGGTCCCTGACACTTTATCCCGCCAGTGGTCCCCGACATATTTTGTCCTGGATACCATTATTTTTACTTGATCCCACGTGGTCCCTGGTGCCTTTCCTCGAGGTGTCCCACGTTCTTTGGGTGTCTACTATCCCACGACGACCCCTTTCCCTTGCTTTTTCTCGGGCCTTGCGTGCGCCAGTTTCTTTGGCCACGGGGCATCCAATCCGAGGTTCTCGTTAATTGTCGTAGGCGGCCCCCACGTTGGGCCTTTATTTTCTAGCGTCCCACGGCCCCTGGGGCCGTCCACCTCTCGACTCCACTATTCTCTTGTCTCTTGCCATGCCGTATTTGCAAAGTCAATGGCCCCTTGGCCTTAGTCATGCTGAATTCAGACGGCCCTCCGGCCCCTTGCTACGTTCCTATGTGCCCGTGTCCCGTCTCTTACTTACTTGTCGTTGTCGGTTCTTTCTCCCTGTGGTACTCAGCCAGAGCGTCACTCCTCCTGGTGGTCTCGTCCTGGTCCTTTGTCTTTTCTCTCTCTTGACTCCTTACTCCAGACTTCTCTGTCGTGCACAACTTGGCTATATACAAACTCTCGAGTGTGGGGATGTTATTCAAGACCCACTGGTCCCGACACCGCTCCATAGGTTGTCGCGTACTACGTGAAGTTGCTGCAGAAGGGAAAGCGCCAGATTGAATGAACTTCTCAGAGGACTGGCGAAGTATGGAGGAGCGAATGCAAGGCACACGACCTCGATAAAGCCTACTGGGCCTCTATTTGCAACAGTGTCGGCGCCCTAAGTGAAGGCAGGTTCGACAAACGACAAGAGGCCTATTTTGGACTACTTCGCAACTGGGGGAAAATTCAGACATGTGCGCAATGCCATTTGGTTGAAAGCGCCCAGGCCCTGGCCTACTTTATCAAGTGCATCTGAGTCAGGCCCTGGGCGAGATACGCAACATGGACCCAACTAGGGCTGCGGGCAGTTGGTCACAGGTAACTGTCACAGGCCTTGGGCCTGATCCGTTTGGTCTGGGGCTCAGCCTCTCTAGGCCTACTGGAAGCTTCTGGGCAGGGGCCCAGCGCAGCCAGGCTGCACGCAAGGCAGGCTGGCAGGCCACTTCCATTTAGGAAAGGGCCTGCACACACATTCGGCATTCGGGCACCGACTGCATGTTGCGCAAGCGCTGTTGCGCTAACACTGGCCAGGCTCATGCGCTCACGGGCGAGCTGGAAGGAGCAGGCAACCATAGCCGAGTTGCGCTGCTATATGCTGGATGGGGCGCATGGTGGTCCTTGGGTGCATGTGGCATCTGCGAGTTGGGGAACGAGGTTGTGAGTGATACAAGAGACATGCCTGGTGCTTGAAGTGTACGACATTGTCCGAGATCTGCTCGTACTTCGGGGAGCTGTTGACGTCATCAACTGCATCGTGGAGTAGGCTAGATAGGATCTTCCATCTGTAGTCTGGGCGCCAAGCGCCAAATAGGATATCAACATTGGTTATTCGTTGATGATGATGAGACTATTCCGGCATTGTCAATTATGAGCATTTGGTGTGCTCTTATTTGGTGAAACTCGTGATGCAATTCTGCTATTGGTTCGAGGTCACGACTATCTGGTCTCGTGTGTATGATGCTGTTTGATTTCTGAAGTTCGCTATTGCTCATCTTCCTTGCAATTTGGTATCAGAGTTGTGTTACGGTGCGCTCATCTGGCGCTTGTCTTCTGCCTTTGCGGTACATGCACGTGGTCTGCTAGGCGAGCAGTCGTTGGAGGTGTGTAGTGAGGAGGGTGGAGACAAGTGAGGCGACCTAGGAGGTGAGGGGTATCGCCTGGAAGGCTACTGAATGGTGAATATTGGGTGTTCGCAGTGTGATGAGAACTATCCGATGTGTGAGTGATGCTGAGGTGGAACGGTGGTGCAATGTTGGTTGTGTCGAAGCAGCGATTGGTCATCACAATCAATATCTGGTCATCTGGTGAGAATATATGTGGTTGGAGGCAGCTATTTTGAGGTACGTTGCACCTAACCTTATCTACCATCTTCGACACTCCTTACCGTGAGGATGTGTTTTCTGTCTTGAGAATCCTCTCATGCGAGAAGTCGTGTGCGCTCAACCTTAAGAGTCGTCAGTCTTCACGTAGAGCATCTGGAAGGAGAGGGCGGTGCTATCTGAAGGGCCCTGGACGAAGCACTGGGTCATGGTCACCATGCCAACCCACCGGGAGTAGAGCACGCATGCTTTGTTGCTTTGTCCTTTGTCTGCTTGCTGTGTTGTAGAGGGGTTCTGAAGGGCAGGCCAACCCTATGGGACAGACGAGAACGGGTGTCTATAAATAAGCACCGGCGGGGTACCTTCCATTGGTTGTGATCGTCGTCCTGTTTGCGACGTTAAATAATTCCTGAGGACTTTGGGGTCCGTCCATAAAAACGCCTCCTGATCAGCCAATTAGTCGGTGTAAAGCTCGATGCACGCGAGGATAAAGACTGTGTAGAGCTGGCCCGCTCAGCAGGACTCGAGGCACAGGGGTGGGCCGTGTGCACACCTTTAGACACGCACGCTGTCCTAATTGCTCAGGGACCTTGGCGACAAGAGACATTCAGGAAGAACGGAGGGAGGGGTAAATTCTAGGTGATAAGTTTGGGCAAGATTCCACTCTGCAAACAGACCCAACGAATGATTCTATTTTTATTTTGATTAGTTAGATGTACAACCATTAACATATGACAGACAACATATTTTGTAACCGTTTTCTGTTCATTGTGCTTCTGTTTGCGAACTAGTCAAAGTCAAAATAGTTTCGTTTGTAGGAACTTGAAGTTACCTGTTGGACCCAAATGTATATACTCTCTGACGCAGCCACGGATCAATTAGTTTAATTATTATAAACTGGTCTGTGCACTACGCTGTGGTAAGCTTATGAGCGATGGGGATACCATTAGTGAGGGCGACCGGATCTTGCGCTCGGCTAGACGCCCGATTGCCCACGTGGCATTAGGACCCAAGGGTGATAGGTTACTGTTCCGCCAACTTCGGGAGAGGCAGCAGCAGTGGAGAGCTAGGGTAGCGGAGGCCAGCAGGGCATTCGCAAGTGAAGCCGCTAGTTCAACAGCCATGGCAACCGCTGCGCAACAGAGTTCCCAGGCCAGCAGTTCAAGGACTATAGGGTCAACGGTCGCGTAGACCTTGAGTTTGTCCATTGGCGTTATGGCAAGGTATCCATTAGTGTTGACTTCCAATGAGATCACCATACAGCAAGCAGCACTCCAAGAGGCACAACTACAGAAGGCCTTAGGAGAGATAAAGGCGAAGAAGAAGAGTCAGGATGCAGCGGAGATAAGCGGACGTTAGTGAGTTAGAGGAGATGGACATGACGAACATGGATGATGATGTGAGGACCCTACAGACCGTCCTGCTAGATGTAGTACAAATGCAGGACCACCACACGGCAGTCCTTCAGGACATCCAACAGAGTATGACCTTGCTGGTCGGGCGAGCGCAAGCAGCACCATCGTTGTCCGGGCCCGGTGCCTGGCCCGTTGTACAACCTCCTCCTTATGTCCCACCGGTGACTCGGGTATCCCCATATGTTTCCCCAACATCGGTCCAAACCATTTCCCTGGATATGTCGTTAGCAGGAGGAGGTTCTAGTGTAAAGGTTCCTGTACAGACAATGTTCTCCCAACCTCCGTCGCAGGTTGCTGTAAGCGGGCAGCCTGCTGTTTCGCAGCCTGCACAGCCGCACGATACACAACCCCAACAGCAGTTAGTGCAGCAGCCTGCACCACAGGGTCCATGGGCCGGAATGGTGCAGGTACCGGGGCAAAGTCATTGGGTTCCAAAGACGACCATCGCTGCTTCTAAACTTTTTACAGGGGATAAGAGGGGCAAAGACCTCGGCACATGGTTGAGGGCAGTGCCAATCTATGTTAAGTGTAAACTTACCTTGCCGCACGAGGAAGTGCTTGTGGCTGCCTCCTATCTAGAGGGGAGTGCAGCAAGATGGTTGAGTGGTTTAGTGCAGTTACAGGGATACGGTCATGACTTTCCCGCTTGGGCAGTCAACCAGAAATTGTATGACTTCCTCAAGATGGTGGAAGACAGGTGGCATGATCCTCAGGAGGCCCAAAAGGCGACTGATGCGATCCTGACTCTGCATACTAGGTAGTTTAAGTCAGTAAGGAAGCCACAAACGCAGTAGAGCGTCTGATTTGTGTCCCTGGGGTATGACCCCCAAGTTTTACTCACCTCCTACCTGAGATGCTTTCCTATGCCTCTCAGGAAGTGAGGCCAACATCAACATGCACAACTTCCCCTCGTTTAGCAAGAAGGCCCTAGACGTGGAAGCAAAGATAGGGCACGATCAGACACCCACGACGGATGGTAGGAAAAAGTCACTGCCTTGCAACTGGAAAGCGAAGGGACGCATCATGTTTGTCGACAACGATGGTTCCACCATCGAGTTGGAGGACGACTTCCAGGCGGGAGTGGGTTCAAAGGCTGGCAGCGTAGAAGCTTCAGGGGGTGGAGTAGTCGCTGCCGTAACTCAAAAAGGTAAGGTGACCGGTAGACGTTGTAGAGGTTCTCAGTCTAGGAGTCAAGTTGACCCCAACGCTCCTCCATGGGAGCGGGTCTCACGGAGGATGTGTGGAGAGACAGGTACACGAGGCAGACGTGTATTCGTTGTGGTCAATATGGCCACAACCAGTTCAAGTGCCGCAATAAAAAGGTGATCGAGAAGATCCCGCCTATGATGGGGCAGGCGTTGGGATCCTCCGCTCCCATTGGTAAAAATGTGGCCAGCAGTTCTCACACTGCTTCGGGAAACGGGTCGGGCCAGTAGGAATAGTAGTTGTTCCTGCTAGGGTTGAGGTGGTGGACACACCCTCACCATCTCGAGAGATGGCGTAAGCTACAGACTCCGTTGTCGTCCCGCAAACACATTAAGACCCATCGAGCCGCTGTTCGATGAATGTGTTTAAGTCCTTAGAGGAGCTAGAGGAGGAGTGGTGCAAATTTGACCCGCTAGCTTCTTGGACAGAATATGCAAAAGCCCCTAGGAGTGAGATGTTAGTCGGCGAGGTAGTCATTTGGCGGGCCGTAAGGCAGGGGCCTATTATGACACTTGCTCGACGTGGAACTTCATTAGTCGCATGTGCGTTGAGACGTTGCGCTTACAAAGGCAAGTGCAGCGCCTAAGTCGACCTGTGGAGTCGACCTATGCCAACAAACAGTGCATGGTAGTCCATGACTCCCTACAAAACGTTGAGTGTTGTTTCCCGTACGCAGGAGGGGAATTGAGACATCGTGTCTCATTCCTAGTGAGCGATGATCTCCCTATGGATATCTTGTTAGGTATGTACCACCTCTCCGTTGCACAACCCCAGTTTGACTGGGACCGAAAAGTGGTCAAACACACTTTGCCAGGTGGGGGGACCGCCATATTACGTAAGTTTAAAGCTAGTAGTCTGATTGATTCCTACGGATGCATGTGTGCGGCCGCATTCTATAACTATTATAAGCAAAATCCGGAGGAGGGTATGTATCTAGTTTATGTCTCTGCAGCAGGCGAGCCGGTGAAAATGTCGCCGGAGATAGAGGGAGTAGTTGCTAAATACCCTGATTTATTTGAAGAGCCGAAAGGGGTTGTTGAGAGGGAGGCCGTCCACGCGATAGAGATTATCCCAGGATCTAGTATTCCAAAGGGTAGGATCTATCAGATGTCTCCAGGCGAGCTTGATGAGCTTCGATGGCAGCTTAAGGAACTCGTAGAGAAGGGTTGGATCCGGTCGAGTGTCTCCCCTTACGGATCTCTAGTCTTGTTTGTACCGAAGAAGGGGGGGACCTTGAGGATGTCCATTGACTATAGGGGCCTCAATGCCATCACTGTTAAGAACCAAGAGCCCCTACCACACATCGATGACTTGCTAGATAGAGTGCAAGGGTGTCGGTACTTCAGTAAAATAGATCTGAAGTCTGGGTACCATCAAATTGCAATACGGCCCAAGGATCAACACAAAACCGCATTTCAGACCAGGTACGGTCTGTACAAGTTTGTGCTGATGCCTTTCGGCCTGTGCAATGCTCCTGGGACTTTTCAGCACGCCATGAATGAGATCTTTCATGACTACTTGGATAAGTTTGTCATCTTGTACCTCGATGACATACTTATTTTTAGTAAGACTGTCGAGGAACATGTTGCGCACTTAGACAAAGTCCTCAGTCTTCTTCGGCAGCTCAAGTTCAAGATCAACGGGGAGAAATGCGAGTTTGGTCGCACCCGGATCTTGTACTTGGGTTATGAGATTTCCACGGAGGGTTTGAAGCCCCATGACGCGAAGGTGCCCAGCATCAGTGACTGGCCGCGTCCTCAGTCTGTGACTGAGATGAGGTCTTTCTTAGGGATGACCGACTACTATCGCAATTTTGTGAAGAACTATAGCATAGTGGCCGCCCCTTTGACTGACCTGATTCGCCTTGACACCCCATGGGAGTGGACAGACAGGTGCGAGGCTGTTTTCGGACATCTGAAGCATGCGTTGACGCATCATGAGGTCTTGAAACTTCCTGATCTTGACAAGCCGTTCATAGTAACCACGGATGCCAGCCAATATGGTATTGGCGCCGTACTTGCGCAGCAGAAGGGGCCAAAGTTGAGGCCAGTCGAGTACATGTCCAAAAAGATGCCGTCTCAGAAGTTGGCTAAGTCCACTTATGAGAAAGAGCTCTTCGCGATTTATAAGGCACTGACCCATTGGAGACATTACCTCCTTGGGAGGTTCTTCATCGTCAGGATTGATCATGAGACCTTGAAGTGGATAAGAACCCAGCCAGTACTCTCTGATGCCTTGAAGCGCTGGATCGAAGTCATTAAACAGTATGACTTCGAAACCCAATATGTGAAGGGGGAGTACAATAAAGTTGTTGATGCCTTATCACGTAGGCCTGATTTCTCTGGTGCGCTGATTACTGAGGTCGGGGTTGCGGACGATGTAACTCGCTCTTTGGTGGATGCCTATCGCGAGGATCTGTTTATGTCTGAGATCATTCGCAGACTCGAGGCGAAGGACAGAGTGACTTCTGTCGAGTTTGAGTTGGTCAACGGCTTGCTGTTCCTTAAGAAGGCCGGGAATAGACGTTTGTGTGTAACTAATCGGGAGTCTTTGCGTAGTTTATTTTTAGTAGAGTGTCATGATGCCACAAAACATTTTGGATATAAGAAGACTGCAGCCAATCTGCTGCAGCAGTTCTGGTGGCCCACGATGATGAGAGATGCCAAGCTGTACGTGGAGACTTGTCAGGTGTGTCAGAGAGACAAGCCACGTACACAGGCCCCTCTTGGGCTTCTCAAGCCCCTCCCGATTCCGGAAAGGCCCGGTGAGAGCCTGTCCATGGACTCATGGACACGCTGGTCACCAGCAAGAGTGGAATGAGACACATCTTCGTTAGCGTGGATAGGTTTAGTAAGCACGCTAGGTTAGTTGCGATGCCAGAGACAGCGAAGACCGAGTACGTCATTAGGCTGTTTAAGGAGAGCTGGGTTAGAGATTTTGGCTTGCCAAAGTATATTGTGAGCGACCGGGATGTTAGATTCACGAGTGACCTCAGCTGCAGAACAAGGAACACAGCTGCAGATAACATCTGGAAACCACCCAGAGGCAAATGGGCAAGCAGAGCAGTTAAATCGCGCTGTACAACACCTGTTCCGGCACTACATTAAGCCCAATCAGGTGGACTGAGATGGGAAACTTGCTCTCATCGCCAGCCTGTACAACAACGTTGTGCGCAACTCCACTGGGGTGAACCCTAAAAGTTTGCTACTGACTTTCAAACCTAGACTGCCCCTAGACTTTCTACTGCTTGAGAACCAGCCAACTGCTGCACTTGGCACACTAGAATTTGCTTATCAGATATGAACAACTGATTCAGCAGGCGGTCGAACAGATGCACAAGGCACAGGCGGCAATGATAGAATCAGAAAATAAGCACCGCCGCCCATCAACATTCCAGATAGGGGACAGCGTCTGGGTTCAGTCGTCAGAACTGGGACAGGAGCACGAGATCTCCCGCAAGCTCATGCCACAGTAGTTTGGGCCCTGGGAGGTTCTGGATATAGTCGGAGATGATCCGGATGGTCCATCATATGTAGTTCAGATCCCTGGTCACATTCGTACTTACCCTGTCTTTCACACCTCCAAGCTTGCACCATTCAAGGAAACTGACCAGTTTCCCTCGCGACGGTCAATGCTGCCCCCAACCATGGATGGAGAGGTCGACATCGATGACATCATGGACCACAGGGAAATGCGGGTTCCAAGACCTTCAGGCAGGGAACGTCCTCCAAAGCCAAAGCTGCAGTACCGCGTTAGGTTCAGGCACCATACTGATCCAAAGGAGGATAGATGGTTCACTCGGGAGGAACTAATGCAGACCGCTCCACAGGTTGTCGCCCACTACGAGAAGTTGTTGCAGAAGGGAAAGCGCCTGATTGAATGAACTTCTCAGAGGACTAGCGAAGTATGGAGGAGGGAATGTGAGGCACAAGGCCTCGAGAAGCCCTACTGGGCCCCTATTTGCAACAGTGTCGGCCGCCCTAAGTGAAAGCAGGCTCGACAGACGACAAGAGGCCTATGTTGGACTACTTCGCAACTGGGGGAAAATTCAGACAGTTGCGCAGCGCCATTTGGTTGAAAGCGCCCAGGTCCTGGCCTCCTTTATCAAATGCATCTGAGTCAGGCCCTGGGCGAGATACGCAGCACGGACCCAACTCAGGCTGCGGGCAGTTGGGCAGGGGTAACTGTCACAGGGCTTGGGCCTGATCCGTTTGGTATGGGGCTCAGCCTCTCTGGGCCTACCGGAAGCTTCTGGGCAGAGGCCCAGCACAGCCAGGCTGCACGCAAGGCAGGCAGGCCACTTCCATTTAGGAAAGGGCCTGGACATGCATTCGGCATTCGGGCACTGGCTGCATGCTGCGCAAGCGCCGCTGCGTTAACGCTGACCAGGCTCACGCGCTCACGGGCGAGCTGGAAGGAGCAGGCAGCCATTGCCGAGCTGCGCTGCTGTATGCTGTATGGGGCGCATGGTGGTCCTTGGGTGCATGTGGCATCTGTGAGTTGGGGAACGAGGTTGTGAGTGATACGAGAGACATACCTGGTGCTTGAAGCGTACGGCATTGTCCGAGATCTGCTCGTACTTAGGGGAGCTGTTGACTTTATCAGCGGCAGCGTAGAGTAAGCTAGATAGGATCTGCCATCTGTAGTCTGGGCGCCGAGCGCCAGATAGGATATCAACATTGGTTATTCGTTGATGATGATGAGACTATTCCAGCATTGTCAATTATGAGCTTTTGGTGTGCTCTTATTTGGTGAAACTCGTGATGCAGTTCTGCTATTGGTTCGAGGTCACGATTATCTGGTCTCATGTGTATGATGCTGTTTGATTTCTGAAGTTCGCTATTGCTCATCTTCCTTGCACAATGATAGTTAATGTAAACATAATCAAGAAAACCGTCTGAAAACGATAAAATGGATTTACTGTGTTTCATATTGGTTTCACTGTTGGGTTGGCTCATCTCAAGTGTGTTGCATTGCTTGTATAGAGATGAGATTCCTTCCTTTATAAAGGTAAGATTGCTGTGATCTTGGATAGATATTGTGCTTCATGTTGCTCACTTTACAGGCAGAACTGTTCATTGATGGATTGGCCCATCTTAAGCATGCTTCATTGTCTGCAATAGAGGTGAAGTAACTTTGGATCTTCTCATCTGGGTGGAACAGGGGATATTGTGGTGAAAATTCATAACGGGCATGCACACACATGGAGGACGACAGCACTGCACCAGGCCTGAACATAGAAGTCCTGTCTATGGCATTTATGGGTCGGCTACCACAACTCCAGCCTGCTCTGCAAAGTCACGTGCCAGGCATGGATCCGAATATTCGGGCATACATCTTACATCGTCCAGGTCATTTCAGTGATCTTACCTTTGCGGATAACACATGGACCCTATGGGACAATGGCGGTAGGTTGCACACAGCGGGAAATGTCAGCTCCTTCAAGCTTTAGAATATCACTCGGTCTGGCTCGTCCATCAGAAACAGTATGTCGATGAGCACTCACAAGCACTACTGCCTCCTGAGAGCAATCCGACTGAACCTCCTCCTTCCCCAGTGCATGGGCAGGCAGCATCCCGTTCCTGTGTGGATTGGATGGATTCTACCACGAACAGTGAAGGGACCTCTCCAGGGGATGGAGACTGTGCCCTCCTCCCGTTGTGCTGTTGCACAGGAACGGTTCGGTTAGCATCTGCACGACATCGCCTCACCTCCGAAAACCATGAAGGGATGGTCGCTGCCAGCCTCTGCCACAAAAACTGCGATCCTTTGTCTTGTGGTCATCCCCCCCACCCCTTGATTACTTGCCGAGCATGCCGTTGTGGCCTTGATCTGCCATGCTTTGATTAATTGTGCAGATCAGCCTTCTTTACGGATGACATGTCAGCAACATGCCATGTTTCATCAAATTTTCAAGGACGCTGTCTCAGTTGGTCGAGCGCTGGTTGGTTATGCACCCTGCCTGTGTGTTCACTTCCACAAGTTGCAGGCTCAAGCATTGCCCAGTGGGGCACCTGTGGCGCATGCTGTAGGTTATATCTTGGAATACACCCGTTCTTTGCAGGCACAGTTTGCAGGTTTGATCCCTGCCAATGCCTGAGTGGATGCTTAGGGGCAGACTGCCAGTTCCCTGTCCGAGCCTAGATGGATGGTGCTCGGAGAACTAGGGGGGTCCTGAGCCCACTGTCTTGTACCAGGATAAGGTTGCAGCGGGCACCGCTCCGAAGCATCTACGGTTGGCTGGCTGGGATGAGATCTGTGGCAGCTGTGTGCGACCCAGCGGCTGGGCTACAGTGCATTCGCCTACTAGGGTCAGGCACCCCTTGGGGGGATGCCCCAATAAATTGTACCTGTTGGTGGTAGGCGGTTCTTGATGAGAATGGAAGAGCTACTCGCAGCACCTCAGGGGGACTAAGGGTGACTCCTGTGCGACTTGGTACCGTAAAAGGTCCACCAGTGTGGGATGCTCTCAGCCATTAACCCTGAGATGAGGTGAGTTGAAACTCTTGAGCTGAAAAGCCAACTGCCCTACCTTGAACGTGTACAACTTTATTTAAAAAAAAAAAAAAAAGAACTGCGCAGATGACCACTGGACAATACCGAATTCGCAGGAATAACAGGGCACCACGGTTCTGGGCCGAGGACAGTAAGAAACTGCAAAAACAGAACAGCTTTGTGCACTTCTAGTCGTTGGAAGTTCGGAAGTGTCAAAATCAGGTGGCCACTCGTTTTGTTTTTTTTTTTTTTTTTTTTCCGTGCCTGCGCCCTAGGCTACCAGAGTGGCGACAGCGAGCTCTTCTCGCTGTCTCCTTCTCAGGTGCAGCATTGCAAGACGGTACTAGGCAGGCCCCCTCAGCCACCCCCACCCCCCACTTCCCCCCCCGCAACCCCCCAATAGCCGGCCTCACACCCTTCCTCGCTAATGGACCAAGGTAGCGGGCCGTGCATCCGGGGAGAGGCAAAAATAAACCGTGGAGTCGAGGAGTCCAACCTCATATTATGGTCGAGTACCACGAGTCCCACCTCGTGACGGCACCTCACTGTGGACCTGCTAAGGGTGGGCGGGTCGCTCCCGTGCGCAACACATGATAAAAAGAGCTGCCTCCGCCCGTTTGTGGCAAGCACCGTACCTCCCTGCCGCAATGGTATTAACCTAGGGCGAAATCCCGGGTGCCCGGGTCCCGATGCCACGCCCGGTTTGACGACCGGGCGACCGGCCGGTCGGAACGCCCGGTCGCCCCCCCGGGCCTGAAATGCGCCGACCCGCTAATTTTTTTTTTTTTCGATTTCGGGCTCTGGGGGCTCGAAGCTGCCTCGCAGAACCCCCGACGCCGCCAAAAAAAAAAATTTCCCGGTTTGAAATCAGGCGATTTCTGGGGAGCTGTTTCAAATCAGGCGATTTCTGGCCGTCGATCTTGAAGATCGACAGCCAGAAATCGCCCGATTTGAAAGTGTTTCCCCGCGCGATTTCGCATGTGGGCAGATCCCGAATGCTGTGTCGAAATCGAGCGAGCGAAGTGTGCTTCGACTCGCTCATCGGCCCCGCTGTACCGTGCCATCGTGCCCTGCCGCCGTGCCCTTCCGCAGCCCGCCATCGCCTTCCCGCAGCCCGCAAGGTAAGTAGTCTGTTTCTTCTTCTTCTTCTTCTTCTTCTTCTTCTTCTTCTTCTTCTCCTTCTTCTTCATCTTCTTCTTCTTCTTCTTCTTTCTCTTGTTACGATCCTGGCCAATTTTGAAGTCCACAATCATCAGAAAGTACAATGTTGTCCAATTGCGAAAAGAAATGAATGAGCTTGAGCCCAATGCTGTCCAATTGCAAAAGAAATGAAAGAACTTGAGAGGAGAGAGAGGGAAAGAAGAAGAAGAAGAAGTAAGAAAGAAGAAAGAGATGATGTACTCCAGCATAGACCAA